AGAGAGAGAGAGAAAGAGATAGAGAGTAAAGAAGAAGAAAACAGACTGAATTGAAGAGATAGACATACTGTAGTATTTTCTTCCATTTTTTTTCCAGTAGGGATATCTGTTGTCTTCTGTCTCTGTGGAGGATTTGACTGACAGTGGCTCAGTCTTTGTGTTTGCTGTTTTCTCTTTTTTGGATGCTGAAGGACTGATGGAGATGGAGATACAACACAGTCATCCAGCAGTGCCGTTCACCTGGACGCAAGAGCTGCACTGACAGAGGTACTGATATATGTACATTTACTGTGTGTGTTTGTGTGGAGGAGAATAAACCAATTTCCCCTCAGTTTACCACTTCAATTTTGTGGTCATAAGTAAAGTATAGCAACCGTTTCAAGCAAAAATTTGAAAGTCACAATAAACATGCTGAGGCATGAGGCACTGAGACCAAGAGGTTTACATATTACACATTGTTAAAAATGCAATTAAAGCTTCACAAAGACACCTCTTTGTTGAGGGCTCTGCTGTAATATCAAAGACAGCAGTGTCGTTTCTGTTCTGTTTCTGTTTGAACCCCAAACCTTTGTCCATGATTTTTGCCTACATTTCCATCACTGCTTTCATCTCGGCACTAATATAACTAAAAAAAGAAAAAACACAGCCATTGAGAAGCCATTGTAAAATCTATTGAAAAGACTTACATTGCCCCCTGTGTATACATGAAGACTTTAATTCTTTCTTGAATCACTTATCCTGCACTGCATATGCTTTACTAGACTTTGTTACTGTGGATGGTAGAAAAATACTAAATGTGTTGCAATCTGCTTTTTTGGTCTTTAGTTCTTAAATCTTTTATATTGGTTGTTTCAATAATTATTCAAGGCCTGAAAAAGAAGAGAAATGCCATGTAGTTACAGCTGTCTACAGGGACAGTCTGCCACAGTTGATTGGAAATATATTGATTATGTCTTGTGTGCATGTTACATCACTGGCCACAGTCTGTATTTTTTGTCTCTTTTTAAAATGTAGTTTTTAGCTTGTCAGTTTTTTACATTTAAAAATAACTTGTATTTCAATATATTACTCTCAATGCCTTTTTCATGTAAGTTATGATACAAAGTGGCCACGGTCGGCCATACTTGATGTAGCCAGGTTTCATGACCAGTGGTTCATAATTGTTTGATATGTCTGATTTGTTGGCTGGCTCATTCTAGTTGACTTATAAGTGCTGAATAGTATTTGATGCTGATGATTGATTTAGATAATACTTGATTCTTTGCTAGCTAACTTGGTAAATACACTTAATGAGCACCACTGCTAATGTTGAAGCAGATAGTTGTGTGTCTGAATCGGTCTGCTCACTAGTCAGGTAGCTCATGTTGACCCAGCACATACCTTTTAAAGCAACAGCATTCCAATATAGAATATAGTACAGAGTTTTGTAAGTCATGTATATATGTTGTCCACCGTTATTATCCCATTTGTGTGCCCAGAAGCAGAGTTTGCAGGAGGTGGTTGGGTGAATGGTAGATGTACAAAACACACTCACGTCTGAGACTGGGATTCAATTCCAGAATCGTTCACACTTATCAAGTTATTTTGTCCATATTAAAGCAGTCCACCAAATTGCCCTTAATCTTGTTGCCAGCACCTGAACATGACCATAAATGTTGTGTAATGATGTCTGTATGTGGGTGTTGTACAACAAATCAAAAATGTTGGCACACAATAATATGTCATCAGTGAGCATATTTCTTTCTTTCTTTCGGAGGGGGGGGAGCTTTTTGCCCTTATTATATAGGACAGTGAAAAGAGAGACAGGAAAGTTGGGGAGAATCACGGGGGAAGGACTTGCAGCAAAGGGCCATAAGCGGGATTTGAACCCATGGCCACTGCATCAGGGACTATAGCCCCTATACATGGGTCACCAGCTCAACTGGGCGAGCTATAGTGGCGGCCCCAAGCATTTTTCTAATACATTCAGTATCCATGTATTTGTAAGTACCCAATAGCTTAACTAACAATGTTTCTCCATTATGTTCCATATTTACGGTTCCTGCAACATTTAGTTGCTGTTGCAATGTAGTTGACTTGGTGAAAGTCTGTTGACAACATCACTCACTAAGCTGTAATTTCCAGATTCATAGAAAAACATGCCTGCTATTCTGAAAATGTCTCAAGAAGTACAAATTGTAACAAAGTTAAGCATTTGTTCATGAGGTTCAGGAGTTAGGAGGGTCGGTGAGTCATGTCATCTAAACAGTGTATAGCTTGCTGATGAACCTGCCACTGAATGATTTGGGCTCAGTCAATCCTCCGAACAAATTTCATATTTAAAGTTGCAGCTACCTTCAATATTTAAGTTTTTGCGTGACATGTTAGATGAGTTTCTTTGTGCACTGGCAAAATTGTATGAACATCACATCTAATATACTAGTAGAACCTCCCAATTAACTTGGATAGACGTCATTTCTCAATCTGTTTGCCATCAAATGACTGATGACGGTTCTGTCACGTCCAGTAACAATTACAGAACAAGTACATGTTAATTCTGTTGTTGTTAGGATCTCCACATGATCAGCAAGCTCTTCCCCTGTGTCCTTCAGTACAATTTAGTATCAAGTCTGTGCCTATATTTAGAAAATGCCATAAAAAATTCACATCATTCATGCATTTATGATGTGTAGTATAGAAGAGATATGGAGTAAACTGTGTCACTTTACTGTTAGGGCAGAATGAGTTCCTCCCAAACAGTGGCCCAATTAGAGCGTTACTGTGACCTCTGACCTCTTCTGAAGGCAAAAAGTCACATGGTCTGTATATTGGAAATGACTTGGTAAGAAAAACTGTTCTGCAGCTACAACCACTGGATGTGACTATGTGTGTTTGTGTATGTGTGTGTGTGTGCATGTGCATGTGTGTGTGTGCATGTGTGTGTGTGTGTGTGTGGGACACCTAAGTGGCTGAGGTGACTCAGGGTTCTACAGAACATGCTACGTGTTTTTCATGTAGGAGGATTTTACCACTGATACATTACATACACATTTATCAGGCAGCTTATTTACAGATGTCGATTTTGTGTGTTTGTGAATGTGTGTGGGAGGATTGCTGCATTAATACTTTTCAAGTGTTGTTCTTATTTTGCATGTGTGTGCCTGTGTTATGATGTGAATAAGTGTTTGTTGAGGGATGCAGGAGGATGACAGTGTGTAGGAGTGGCAGAGAGCTGATTACGCACACACACACACACACACATACACACACACACACACACACACACACACACAAACACAGATACAGTCCTTCCTTTGTTCAGGAGCATTGTGAAGAAGAGGTTAATGCACCCAGAAAACAGAAAGAGAGACAACACTAATGGACAGCGACGGGCCTTTCACTGCAAATATTTGGTCGAGAGGTTTCATACTAACCATCCCATCCCCCGTTTTCTCTCTCCCTCTCTCTGTCATTCCACCCCCCTTTACCCGTGGCCAAAGGAAAAAGATCAGAACTGAATTGTCACTCTGTGATCTGCTCACCAAAGAACGATGCTCAAGGCCATGTTTTCGATGGTCTGCAGATAGACGGGTGGGAATTTGATTTAAAGTTGTCATAAGGGCAAATAAACCACAGCTGTTTAGAGACAACATTGTATTTTCTGAAGATAAAACAAAACTGAAGTTTAAGAAGGCATGCACTCAGTACCACACAATCTCAAAATTGCCTGTTACAGTGCAGATCTGGTTCTTATTTAGCATGAACATGCAAACCTTGTACATTTGTGGATCACAAAGCACCTTACATTAAGTGCCAGTGTGCAGTACTGATGCAGTTTAAAAGTGTTACCTTGATGAAGAGCAGGGTTGATTTATTATTTTATCATTTGCAGTATAAAAAAAAACATAAAACAATAGAAAAGAATAAAACTGATGGAAATAGACCATAAACAAAGACAAGTTTACAGGCACATGTTTATCCCTGATGCTCAGTCTGCTGCTCCTCATCTGCTCTTCTTCCTCATTATTAGGTTTTTTCTTTTTTTAAATATATAATTACATAACCATGAAGATTTATCTCTAGATGACTCTCCTCTGCCATGTCCAGTTAATCTGCTGGCTCAAAGTGTGTGTGTCTGCGTGTTTCCCACATTTGTATGCGTGTGTGTTGTCAGATAGTACCAGATAATCCCTCCTCAGCAAAATATTCCAATAGAAAAAAACATTGCATGCAGCAGAAACCAAGTTCCTGTCATGAAGCGTTTTGTCTAAAAGGTGTGTGTTAAGTTGAGCAGAAACCAAAGAACTGATGATCCATCTAACATGGACAAAATGGAAGATTACAAGTTTTTGCTGCTAGTGGGAGGGAATTCTTTTACCACCTCTCAAACTTTGTTTTCTTTGTTATGTCAAGATCTGGATGTGAATCTGCTGACAACAGGAGAAATCTGTAAGGAGAGATGTGTTGCTGCATCAAGGCAAGAAAAGTGAGGAATGTGTTGCAATGGTTGTCTTATGAATGGCATCTTAACAAACCTGCTTTCTCCCCCAGAAGGTAAATCTGCTGACTAATGTGCAGAGAAAACTAGTCAGTGATGTTTAAACAAAAAAAGAGAGGAAAATACTAAGATAAGATTTGTGAGAGGAAAGAGAGGGGGATGGTCGAAGAAAGTCAAGACTCGTGGTAATTTTGGCCCCAGGTTTAGATTTGTTTTCATGCCTTTAAAGAAAATGTGTACTTTTAGTTAAAGCTTAGTCATTTCAGTCCAGTCTTCATGAGAAATGTCTGTCACTTTTTTCATTTTGATAATTAGATTTACATCTGTTTGGTCTGTATTTGAGCACCAGCTGTCAGCATCTTTATTTCTAAGGCTACGTTGGTCGTGTCCATCACACGGTGAAGGGACAAAAGATTCTGTTTATTTGTTCATACAGTGTTCATGTGATTGTGCTCTGCAGTGACACAGCAGACTGACTCTCTTCAGTAAATCCACTTATCATTTCCAAACTGTTTGACCACAACCACTCAGTCTAATCTTATTCAGGGGTGGAGCCACTCAACCAATAGCGAAGCCTGTTAGATGACTACACATGTACAACTGGAGTTACATCCTAACTCTACTTCAGCAATTATGAAAGTATAACTTGGAGCAAACATTCCAGATTTTTAAAAACCCATTAAAAAGCTTATTATATGAGTCCTCACTGTACAGCCACACTCATGTCTGCATGAAAGCAAGTGACTAAAAAATGTTCTACTTGGCCCACAGCAATTTGCTATGCAGATGT